TCCATCATAAAGAGGAGACTAGGCTAGATGGACCTCATATCTTGTATAGCTGCTATGATAAGTATTGACATCTGGATGTTTTTATTAGAGAAAAGGCTTGAACAGCCCCAGAAGCTGTATGTATGTATTTTTGTGGAACAGCATGCAGAAGGGGGGAGACACCAAGCACATGGCTATTTCAGATGCGTACTATTAGTCTGCATTTACACTAGCTAACTCCAAGTGTGGAGACATCAAAGCTAAAGTCACAGCATACAATGACCTCTAGTGAGGGATGGATAAAATAACATATGACAAGGATCTGTGCTGCTTCTCTGTGCCATCTGCTTAAAGGCAGGCTCTTGGCACTCCACAGTGCAGTTTAAGATCAGAGCGCATAAGGAGAGACAGCGCTTGCCTTTGGATAAATATATCTTGGCTTGTTGGACCTTTCTTCTTAATGGTAATAAACATGATCAGGTTGCTTAGTGGGCTTTGGTTTGTTCTTTTGTAAATGTTAATGGATCAGAAACTTGACCAATGCTTCATCACAGCACTGCATTTAAGTTTTTTGAGAGCTTGGTGTGCTTTGAAAGGTCATGAATAGAATGAATGTTTATTTAGGCCAAATGACTAATCATGCCTGCACCAGCGGGGATGTGTTCTGGCAGCAGCATGAGAAGGTGAATCAGACAGGACGGTGTCTGCTTGACCAGTTTCCCCCACATGGGCTGGTACTGCTGTTGCCTGTAAAATTTGAGACTGGAGGACAGTTCTTCCAGTGTGGACAGAGAAGAATGACTAGGAAATGGTGAAAGTGCAGTGGCTGAGGATCAGCCCGTGGCAAGGGCTGGGTTTCAGTGTGGCTTCTCTATGTCAGATAAGACTCGGGCCCAGAAAATCTGTGGCATGTTCCCTTAGGCCGTGTGAGCTCTCCTGTGAAAATGAGTATAGGCAAGCCCAAGCAAAGTGCTGGCAGCTTTTGGAAGGGGGTTCAGCTCCTGCCTCACTGGACACCACCAAGCTGGTTAAGTTCATTGCGTTGTGCTATTTCTTTCTCCTCGGAGAGGCATTTCTCATGATGGGACTGTTCACACAAGCCTGTTTTCTCCAGGAGCACTGGGACAGGGCCTAGCTTTCCTTGGGATTTATCTCTTGCTGAACAAAAAGCCTGAAAAGGACGGCCCTTCTCTGTTTCGTCCTTTGTTTCCCCAGGGAAATAGATGTTTCCCTGAACCATCCCCAGATGTTTCTTGCTCAAGCTTTCTTGATGCCTATGGGAAGTAGGTAATCACCTGTATACTAGTCTCTGGATAAAAGTCTCTCTAAGAGTGCCTTGCTGAGAGTACTTCTGGCATGAGTTGAGGGGCTCTTACTTGTCAGTTATTCCTCAACAGTAGCTTCATGCAGCTGCCTTGACATAAGAAGTACCAGGAGGATTAGTGGGCAGTACTCTGCCTTCAGAAGGATGCCTTCAGCTTGTGAAAGCGGTGGAGAGAAATTTAGCCACCACACAGGGATGTAAGAGATAGCTAGCCATAGGGAACTAGCTTTTGGTGTGCAGGTGTTGTTGGCAGATACAAGTCTTGACCCTCCTGGAACAACATGTCTTCTAGGGATATAGAAGGAAAGAGTGCCCTTTAGCCAAAGGGATGCTGAAGTGTGAGGGGTGTTTACACAGGAGGTGAGCACTGTGGTGTGAAATTTGTGCTGACTAGGTCTGGAATTGCTGAGTGTGGAGGGGAGGGAAGGGAAGTTGTGACATGTAGAGGTGTTTGAAATACCAGTTTGCTGCACTGGGCGGGTGTTGTCTTATGGGCTGTCCTGCTTAGGTTTTTTTTTTTCCTCTTACTTTTTGGCTTTCTGAGAAAGAAGCAAGCCCCTACATAGTCCCCCACCTGCAAACAGTGTTGCTTATGTATTAAGAACCACCTGTGAACTCAGCTCTCCCAGCAAGCATGTGAGCTTCCCACCACCGGCGGACGTGTGGGTGCTGCTGTTGTTTCTGAAACGGAAACCATCCTCTGCTCAGCTTGCTTCCCATGTGTGACGAGACCAAGCCTTGCTCCAAGGCAGTGTTGTGTAGCTGGAGGTCATTATATTACAGGTCCTCATCTCATTCTTACTAATGCCTTTAGTTATAGGGAGGGAAGACTTAAAGGAAGCGAGGTAATTTTGCTAGTTCTTTTCCCTTCCCTACCACCAGCTTTGGTCACTAGAAGATGCTGTGCCTCTGCGCATTGCAGACAGGCTTAGCTGCTGCATGTTGTCATGTCACCTCAATCAGTGCAGAACCTAGGCAGCCCTTGGAATCCCTGCTAAAAGTGGAAAGAACACCTTTCCTCTGTAGGCTGTGGGGTGACTGTAACTGCTGGGGCATGCTCAGGGACTAAGGGAGTATGATCTTTCTGAAGAAATAAAGTGAACATTGGAAATGCTCCCTGAAGGTATGTGATACCAAAGGCATACAAGGGGCAGCCAGGACTGGCTTGAAGCCTCATGAGTGAGTCTGGGGCATGACTTGGGATACTTCAGTGGCACCTAAAACAAGGGTCAAAGCATTCTTTATGTGGGGAGATGCTTGCTTCTTTCTTAATACCCAGCTGGACTAGGAGAAAAGCGCATGGCACTGATGGTACTAGGAACTGATGGTACTAGGAGCGGTAGAGGAACACTGGAAATTAGGCTTTCTACGAACTATGGGTTTAATAATAATGATGTACCTATATTCAGGAGCAGGCTTATATTAAGAAATCATGGTGATATCGTTCCTTCCCAAGTGACAGGCACTGAACTCTCTGATTAGGTTTCTAGCTTGACTCGCCATCAGTGGTAACTGAGGGCTGCTGTAATACTGGTGATAGCACAAGTGTAGGACTCTGGACAGAATTTCCTAACCTCTTTAAGTTTTACAAGGGCAGCTCCTAAGCTGTGTTCTCTGGTTTTCCAGGTCCGAAGAATGGTTGGGGCTTTAGTTGCAGTCGGCCAGGGAAAGTTAACGCCTCTTCATATAAAGAAGTTACTGGAGATAAAAGATGCACGGGCTTTTCCACCAAATGCCATGGCTCCGCCATCTGGACTCTTTCTAAAATCAGTGGAATATGATGAAGCAGGTACGTGAATGCAGGGAATAGTGTTCTTTTTGTAGGAGTCAGATCTAATACTGAAGGGAGCAGTAACACCCACAGTCTTCCTTTATGTGCTGTCTGACCTATGGCTCACAGTGTTATTCATTGACGCCCTCATCACAGTGAATGCCCTGGACTGTAGAGGTGTTTACAGCAGTTGCTATGGAAAAATTGTGTATTTTGGTTTTTTCCTAGTAGATTTCCTCCTCTTACTTGCAGGGTAGTAAAAGAGAAGTTGTGTTGACAATGACTGAGATCTCAACATGAATGATACTTTAAGTTCTCATAAATGCTTGTTCTGTCTTTAAACATTCTGACAATGTTTAAAGACCAAATTGTCTGTGGTATCTAGGTGTCTACAGATCCACTTCTGTTCCCTTGCTTCTCCCTTGGTATTTATGAGAGGATTGTACAGACCAGAGAACAGATCATCCTTTTGCTTATATGGTGGCTCTCTTAATATAACAGCATCTCATCTAAACTATTGAAGTTTTCTAGCTTAGGAAAAAAAACGGGGTGTGTGTGGCAAATTTGCAGAAGATAGCAAATGGATGTCACGGAATTTTGACACCCCTGCTAGGAATAGCAGGTATTTAAAGCTGCAAGGATTAATCTGTCTCTGATTAATCCAGCACTCGTGGATACAGAGGACTTTGCACCACACTGCAAACCTTTTCCAGGCTGCCTTGTCTCAGCCAGACCACAGACTTCCTACAGGTGGGCTTAGAGCATGCTCTCCTGTGCAGTAGCAGTGCACACACCGGGTCTTAAAGAAGACAGAAGGGAAAGGGAAGCAACAAAGAGCAGTGCAAGGAGCTTGAATGTAGTTCTGAGCACTTGGCGTAGCCTTGAAAAGGCAGCTGCTGCTTCCTGGTGCTGGCCCTCTCCAATGGTGCTTTTTCTGATAGTGCTGGCTGTGGAGCTGTCTGTGCCAGTGGGGAGGGAGCCCAGGTGGGAAATGAAGACCACAGATTAAGTGCTTTCAGGTGGTTTCAGTGCAATCTTTTTCCCTAATTTAAGGTTTTCTTTTTTTTCCTCTCAGATTTGGATGCTACAGTTGGCCCAGGAGAATAGCAGCTCTATGAGATACAGCCATGTCTGAAAGGACTGTTGTGGATGTGTGATGGAGGTTTGCCAAGCGCACTACACAATACGCGGTCTTGTCTCAATAAAAATCATTGACTGTGACTGTAGGCATCTTCCTACCATTTGTTCTTGACATCTGAGACTGCCAAGGGGAAAAGAAGAACAACTCCGTACTGCTTTCAGAACTGCTTTTTCTTCTGAAATTCTGGTGCCTGTCTCTCAAGAAGGAAGGAGTGGGGCTTGGGTTTTTTGGTGTTTGGTGGGTTTGTTTTTTTCCTTCTGTGGTGTGTGTGGGAGGGATACAGGCTTAGAACGGGGGAGAATGTAGCATTTCCTCTCTGCCCCTCTCCTCTGTAACCCTGCCTTTGTGCAACATAGCGCAAGGGACAACTGTTACTCTTTGATGCAGTGACTTACAGAAGCAGCCGTTGAAAGTACTCGCCATTTCCTCTCCTCATCAACAGTCACTCTTTTACTGAACTATATTGCCTTTTACATTATCCTGTTCCCTGGTACAGTCATGTCTGTTGCACTTAGGATGTGGCGTATTACAGAACAAAGTTCCTTTGAGGTCACTTAAAACCTGTTTTAATGGTCACGGACTGGGCTAGTAGCACAGGAACAACTGTATGAGCGAGTCAGCCCAATCATGAAATGATTAGCATTTTTGGCAGTGGAGGCTCTGTAGCTGGAAGGTGGCTGCCCCGCTGTTGCTGGGCTCCGATTTGCTTGTTGCTGCCTTCTGCTCTTCCATAGTTGTTGGTGCAGCAGTGCTGCAGGGCATGCTAGTCTGTCAGTGATCTAAGGGTGTGTGAATCGTAGTGCAGAGCAGGGAGTAGAGATAACTTTTATTTATTTATTTATTTTTAAATGACACTGATCTCAGGTTTTGTCTGCTTGCCCAATCAATAAAATACACATTGGGTAACTTGTGGGGTTTTTTTCTCATGAATGACACCAGAATCTCTGTCTGTTTTGGTTATAAAATTGTTGTTAGAGTGCCAGGTTACAGCAAAGAGGATGAAAAATTTGATTTCTGAAGTTCACAGAAGAAAAAATACCTAGTTTAAACACTGCTGCAGTGGAAGTAACGTCCAGCTGAGATGGCTGGTACCACCATAATTAATCTCCCCTTTGTCTGTGAGAGGAGAAGAAGAGTTACAGATAAAGCCAGTTTCTCAGAGCAGACAGCTGACTCGATCTGGTAAGAGGATGTTCGGGTGGTTTTTTTATGTGGCAATTCAAAGTGATATAGACTATTGCATTCAGATAAATAAAGGAAGAATCTTCGTAGCCTCTTGAGAGGCTGTGGAGTTTCCAGTCTCTGTTTGCATGGTGGAGAGCCACGAGGTAGGCAGAGGGGGAGGCAGCAGTTCTTTTTCACCTCTCTTAAGGCCACCTTGCCTTTGGCTCTGGGGATCGAGTTAGTGAGTGGTTCTGATACAGAATATGAGGACAGCTCGTTTCTGGATGTCTCCTCATGAGAAGTGATACATCTCTTCCGCACTCTGTTCCAGGTAGCGGTTTTGCTAGAGACCTACTTTTGACAGCATGGGAAGGAAAGGTAAGATACTTCTGGTTACTCCCTTCCTTCCTGTGGGGCATGCTGACTGCTAGCTGCTCTGTTCCCTTAGGGACTCATTCCCAAAGAAGACAACAGAACTTTGGAGGAGTCCTGGGTCTCTACCATGAAAAAGGAGAGTTGAAGCTGCTGTGTTGCTAGTGGGGTACCTGTTTGTGCTTTTCTGGTACAGCCTTGCTGGATGAGTACCCAGAGGTAGGGATGCTGTAACACACTGCAGTGATTTTTTTCAACACAAACAGTGGGCTTGTCCATCTGTGTTCCAAACCATAATGTGCCCATATGTTTTTGGGCAGCAGTTTGCCTGAAAGGGAACGGCATCAAAGTCTTGCTCTTCCTCCCTTTGAGGAGAAGTGAGAGTGCAGCTACAGGCCTATTTCAAAGTTTCTCAGACTGAAGCACTGGTACCTGGTTCCAGAGAGGCAAGTCTTGCTCTGCAGACTGCTGGGACTGGAGGGCAGGGCACGCTGGAGGTGATCAAGGGTGGCTTTGGGTGGGAGCATCGTGCCTCCCTCATGCAGTGGATGCATGGAGAGAATTAAAGCGTGCACTAGTGCTGGCTGTGTGCTGTGCGCTCTCCGCAGTTCTGTTGGGGGGACACTTCACTGGTGGGGCAAGTGCTTTGTCTTGGATTTGAGCGACAGCTTTTCATCTTCACTTCCTGTGGTTTCTCTCTGTAGAACAGTGTGGGAGAGCTCTGCAGTGTGTCTTACAGGGCAGTTTGCTCTGGTGTTAAGACTCTGTGCAGAAGAGCTTAGCAGTGACCTCGTAGTTGTGAGGACTCTTTGGAGAGGCCAGTGTACTCATCTGCAGCTTTTGCATGAGATGACGATCTGAGCTCTGGTAAGTTAACTTTCTGACCAAATTTATTATGAGTCTTTACGGGACAGAAAACCAAACGAAATACTAATGCTGTTTGGGTGTTAATTAAGCTAACTGCTACTGCAGGCTCAGGTATCGCTTTTTTTTAATAGTCACAGTGCAAAAATACCTGCTATTGATGTTTCTGCAAATGTTTCCCAACTTCTGGTTACAATAAAAACCTATCGTGTTGATGGGCTTGTTATCAAATCCAGTAACTGAGCAACCCAGGTTCAGCTATCCAGGCAGTAGTCTAGAAGTAGGCTAACTGGCTAACTCTGCAGTTAGCACAAAGAACTGTTGTGGGGTTTTGCTTTGTTTTTTAAACCCCAGAGCAACTGTTAAAAAGAACCTAAAGACATCTAATTAAAGAACATGCTCTTTTAGCATCATAAAATGTACCATCAGTAGAGAACTTCTGTACAAACTCCTAGTCTGAATCATTTTTTTTGATGTCCGTCATTAACACTTGTTACTTATTATCAATGAGTATTTAGCATTCTTTTCCTTCTTATGTTGTTGCATTACTAATTTGTTTCAGTTAATTCAGTTTGGACATCCAATACATGGGGAGATCTGTCTTTCTGATTGTTTGATAGTGATGCTTTAAAACTAAAACCAGAAAAACCTCATACCTGACCAGAGTTCAAAGACTCAAGCTTGGTTTTGTATGAAAACATCTCTAATAGTCTGATGAACTCAAAATCCAGTGGAAACTTTGATGTATGCTTTTCTGTGTTTTTGTAAATCAAATAACTTTGTACAGAAAGAGAAGTTCAGTGGTGCTTTTTGGTTCTGGAAGAAATAACAGCCCTCCCCCCAAAAAAAGAAAACCCAAACAAACAAAAACAAACCACCCCAAAACAAAACAAAACAACTCTGGGGAAGCAAAGCTGAATCTGGAATTTGATCAGACTCCATATTTTTTAAAATGGTTGATAAGTAAATGGTACATTATTATACGAGATGGAAGTGGCTATATACTTGGAAAATACATGTTTAGTTGTAGACTCTTGTCGCTTCTGTCACAGGGAATGAAAATATTTTCAAACAGATCAATGTACGTGGTAGGGTCCTGCAGGAACTGGGTAGCAGACCAGCTTGAGACTTGTAAGATACTCCATGTCAGTGTTGTGTTATTTCCACCCTCCCTTCCACTGTTCCTGACTTCTGCTGCAGTTAAGCTTAAATGGGTTCATGCTACTTGATGGGCTACATCTAGGGATAGTGAGCGCTAGTGAGTACGAGCATCTCTGTCAGGGGCTTTGCTTGTTACTTCCCAGCAATTGAGGTATTAGCATCGCTCACTGTCCTCTGTAAGAGTGTGAGACATAATGTGGGATCCTGTTTCAGATGGGGAGGGATTTATGGGATTAAATGAGACTACAGGTGCTGAAAGGAAATTCTATTAGTGCAGTATTGTGGTGCAAGCAGCTTCTGTGCCTTTGTAAGGCCTTGTAACCGTACTGCCGGGGATCCGAGTGGAATCGGTTCTCTAGGCAGTCCTTTAGCAAGATTCATTATGCCATCTCACAGCAGTCAGTCAGCATTAAGTATACAGAAACTCTTGTGTTTGGCTTCTACAGAATCTTGGGACAATGTATGTGCTGTTTGGAAAAATTCCTTTTGTTTGTTCTGGAGCTGTTACCTGGTAGTGTCTACAGATGTCCTTACTGTGCTAGTCTTGTGAGAAGCAGTAGCTAATCACCCTCCTTTGCCTGTCCTACCCCTTTAATGGCCTTACAGGCCTCTGCCTTATCTTTCCTCAGTTGCAACACTATACTCCGACCTTAGAAAAGATAGATGTTTGGGGGCTCTTGCTCCGGCAAAAGTCAGATATAAAGGTTGTTTCAAGTCCTATGCTGCTTAAAGTTATGGCGTAGCCATGCCTGGTTTTGTATTAACTTTTCTGGGTGTGTACAAACCCTTTGCCATTAGGTGAAAGACCTATGTAAGCAGATAGGTCTACTTGCCTACTTAAAGTGAAACCATTTTTTTTCCTTTCTAATCTTCCAGTTATCTTGGGTGCTTTTGACTTCATTAGATAAACAACTATTGGGAGGAAGTGTGATTTCAGAGTTTCCTTTGGAAAGTACCCAACAACCTTTGTGTTTTTGTGCTTTCAATGGCTCCACTTCAGGAACATCGTGCATATTGTAGCTGGGTTTAATTTCTCCACTGCCTTTAAGGGCCTCTGTTTAGGTGTCTATGTTTGGCTTAGTTGCTCAGATTTCTTTTGTATTTGATGGAGGGAATCTGCACTGTTGGAGTGCAGTTTATTGCGTACGTGACGTGACTGACCTAGATGAAGAGTCCTACTTGCACAGTGCCTCTTTCCCGAATTTCGAACACATAAACTAGTCCTTTAGGCTTCCTTTGTATCTGAGGTGAGTGGTGGTTTCCCTCTGCAGTGTGCCTGCAGAGTAGGTTCAGGGTGCTGTAAATTCACCCAACAGCTTACACTGAGCCTTCCCCCTTATATATGAATGTCAACTAAGGTGTAAAAGTGTGAGTGAGAAGGGTGGAAAAACCCCTATTTCTCTCAGATTGTCTTCATGCATGTCACCAGGTCTTACGATGACTGAGGACTGTGTCCAGTATGACATACTCCCCTGCAGATGAATGTTTGTTCCAAGAGACCTGGCACATCTTGTCTGAAGTGCTGAACCCTTCCATTTACTGTTATGTTAACAGTTGATGTCTATACTGACCATCCACCCTGAACCACTCATAAACGTGGGTGGGGATAGGTGCTGCTGCTTTATGATTTGGTTAACAGCTTGGTATGGATGCCAGCTACCTGTTTCAGTCCTGTGCTTTAAACAATATTTCTTAGTTTTAACAGGAAGGTTCCACGCATGCTCTTTATAAAACTGCAGCAGCAAGGTTATAAAACAGTTCAGTATACAGACTACTGGGTTAACTGTCACACTGGAGTAACTAAAAAAGCAGTCCTGCTTCTATTTTTGCCTCTACTGCTTTTCTTTTTTCCTGGGAAGCCTGCACAATCCATCACTGCAAATTTTTAAGGACAGGGTAACAACATCATACATCTCAGCAGTGACACAGGAATTTTGGTAGCGCTTAGGAATGGGAAATTAATTACAGGACCTCCAAAGGTATATCACTGCTGAAGTTCTCCTGCACTGCTTCAATTGCTGGCCTGTCCTTAGCTAAAGATATAGCCTTCTACATATCTTTTTTTTTTTTTTTTTTTTTTTGGGGGGGGGGGAATTGCTACCTCTGTTATTTCAGTATTATCAGCTTGTGATGATTTTAATGCCAGTAAATGCTCTGTCTACTGTGTAAACTTCAAATGCTTGTGTTTTAAATGATTTATTCTCCCTTACAGCAACACGCAACACCGCCTTCCATCTAAGTATACCAAGCCCAGACCTCTGAACCACAGACCTCACCAGACGGAACTTTGCTCAGTTGTGTAGCTTTAGCTCCTGCCCACTCAAGATGAAGTAAAACTCAAGAACCTCCTGAGGTAAGGGATGGCTTAAGACTTTTATCCCATGTTGGGTATCCCTACACTCCAGCAGAAACCATGGCAGATATTTCCTGGACTGAAGGAGTCTCCAGCGAGACAGTTGCCAATGCCAGTTCAGAATTCAGTTTGGAAGCAGACTTCCAGTATTCCCTGTTTACTGTCATCTACAGCATTGTCTTCGTGCTGGGACTGGTAGAAAATGTCTTGGCTCTGTACCTCCTGTCCTGCAAAGTAAAGCACGCTTCTCATTCCTACGTATACCTCATTAATCTAGCTCTAGCAGACACCTTGTTTGTTTGTGTGTTGCCTTTTAAAATTCATTACCACCTGAATCGGAACAATTGGATCTTTGGTGACATGGCTTGTAGGATAACTGGGACTTTGTACTATATCAACATCTATCTCAGCATTGCCTTTTTCACCTGCATTTGTGTCGATCGTTACATTGCAGTGTTGCACCCCTTCACGTACATCCAGATCAAAGTCATCCATTACGTGATGGTGGTCACAATCCTTTGGGTGGTCGCTCTAAGTGTCATGGTTCCGCTTATCCTTGGAGGTCCCCTCCACAACAGTGGTGTGAGGAACATGACAGCATGTTTTGAGAACTTTGCTACGAGTAGCTGGACTTATCGCATGGCACCTTACAACATCCTGGCCTTAGTTTTTGGGTTTGTGATCCCATTTTCCATCATTCTGATCAGCTATCCTCTCATTGCTAAGAGGATCTCCCAGATCAAACACAGCATTCGCAAGAGGAAGGCCCTGAGCACTATCTACATCATCTTGGTCATTTGTATTTTGTGCTTTCTCCCGTATCATCTCACTCACTTGCTCCACTTTTTAATGAGAATCCAGGTCATCCAGAATGAGTCATTTACCAGCTTGATCTACAAAATGCGAAGAGTCACCTTAGCCCTAGTGAGCTTCAACTGTTGCCTTAACCCACTCTTGTACTACTTCACCTCTTCCAGCAAGCATTGGTACTTCAACTTCAAGCTCAGATTCAGGTCTAAAATGGTGTACACCATCTGTGACCAGAAATGTGGGGAGCCCTCCTATGTTTATAAACTACAACAGAGACATGGAAATAAAAAAGACAGAGATGGAATCAACTGATCTACTTAAAGTAAGTAGAGTATTCATCTTTCCAACTGTTTCTTTGAAAACAAACCTGTGAAACCTACCATTTTTTCATACAGTGGCTTTTATATCAAGGGAATGCTGGAGAGAAGTGCCTAACAGCTATATATTTTTATTAGCCAACTAGGACAGTACTTGGGGGAGCTGTATTCTCTGACAGTCCTAGATAGCACAGGGCAAAACATGCTGTGTTCACGTACATTGATGTTTTGGTCTCCTTTTGTTTAATTTTGGGCTTGGTGGGAGAACACAGGGCTCTTCTGGAAAGCAGTTACAGCCCAGGAAAGGGTTACTTGAAAGAAACCAGCCTTCTAATTGACACTAACTAGCTGAAAGCGGAGTGGATTGGGGCAGTCCTGCTTGGCTTTTCCCTATTTTGGAGGGATCCTGTGTTTTTCTCCCTGGGGGCACCCTGTAGCCAGCTGGGTTCACAAACCCTTTTCTGCCTACATTCCGCAGCCAAATAAGGGCATCTCGTTCCCTTCTTGTGAATCAATTGATTGGCTTCCTGAGGAGTATTTCAGTACAGGGTTTCTAGCTTTGCATGCCTATGGATTCAAGCTGGACATCTATTAATGCAAGTTTGGAAGATCATAGATCCAAAGTATTTATCAGTCAGTTAACCCTGTGCAGGACCAGTGGTAAACAAGCTCCTCTGGCCACACGGTCATTGAGGGAAGCTACTGTAGGAGCTGGCACAACTCCTTACACGGGCCAGTCCTGTTCAAATGTTAAAGCTCTCTTTTCAGTCACCTTTTGTGATATCGCGTTTATATCTGATGTATTTCACCCTTTCTCTTGTATTAACAGAACCACACAGCTTCTGAAAACTGCTGAGTTTCCCACCCTGTGAAACGCAAGACTTTGGAGAGAAATTACCATTTGTGGGTTATCAGAGTCACCAGAAAACAACTGGCCTGGCTGATAAACTGCTTAAAAGCCAAGGGTTTACTTAAAAGAATGTGATTTTGGTAACAGATATACTGTTCCTTCCCACGCTGCCCCCAAACTTTATGAAGTGTGTACATGCTGTTGGCCTGTAGGCATGCAAGACTGCTGAGCAGATGAGAACAGAAGGGAAATTGTGATGGGGTTTGTTTAAGAGGGAACAAGGTATGCTGAACTGTGGCAATGTGCTAAATCTGTATTTCCATTTCCAAGTGTGCAAAAGGGAGGCTAAAAGTCACGCTTTGACCTAGCAGGCTGCAGCAGACGATTGGAGTTCCCAGGTTATGCGGTGCTGTTGGACTTGGAACAAGAAAGGCCATGGACCTTAAAGGAGGGAGGGAGTAGGATTACTGTGGCAGAATGGTGTGTGAGGTAAATGATTGTGTATCTCGATATGATGTGTAACTTCTCTTTGCGTAACAATGGATGTTGCAGCATCTGCCCATATTCGGCCAATCTTCTGATGGCAGCCGATGCCAGAGTCTATGCTCTGGTTAAGGACAGGAGGTAAGAGGTTTGGAAAATAAGAAGCATTGGTGTAGGGGTATGGTGGGGTTTTGGTTTGGAGGAAAAAAAACCCATGCATTATGATGATAAGCAAGGGTCTTGGATTTGGGATGCTGTAGCTATCAGTTAAAGCCAATCAGTCAACCACTTCAGCAATCTGAGATGGATGCAGCAAGCAAACCATGAGCAAATCTGAATTATAATAGAGCTAAAGCTTTGTAATAGATGGTGTTTGTGGGTGTAGTACTGCATTTGTTAGGATGGGCCTGACCTGCATTAGTTACTGCTATGTGCAGTTTGAATTGTGTTGAATGGATACCTGTTACTAATGAAGGGTCAGCTACTGACCTCTCCCTTTCTGTATTTTGCTTTTAGCTTGGAGAAATTTTTAAGTATCAGTGAGAAAACCTGCTCAAACTTTTCTAAAATATTGAAAATAATGTGTGTTCTGCTTGAGTGGGCTTGGTAAGACAAGTGCAAATCCTTGCACTTGTAAAATGGAGAGACGAGGAGAGCCTCTGAGGGAGTATTAGGACAAATTAATCTTTTACCTTTTGTAAGACTGCTATTTTTGTCCCATTTATAGGCTATGGAAACACTTCCCAGCACTGGAGGGACTATTTTTTCCAACTAAACTAAGCACAATTTTTATGTTCTGGACAAAGGAAGAAAAATTTTTATTAGGGACTCCATCTGCAAGTGCAGCTTTCTTGCAGCCTTGTCAGCTGTCATTGAGGGAAGTATGGATAATTTAAAAAGTTATGCTGCTAGGTAAATAGCACATTTAGGGCTTTATCTGCTTGCCTCCATTTATACTTTGCATTTTAATTGCGAAGCTTTGAAAGCTCTTTGTTTCCACTCAGCAGTGCTGAAGTTTTAAGGGAAATGAGCTGTGGGAGGGGAAGAATGCTGAATATCTTTTACCTTACTGGGTAAGCAATTCAAACCTTGTTCCTCAGGACTCTTTAAAAACAGGCTCTAATGACTCCATGGACAGGTTTCCAGTGGGGGAAGATCGTACTACTGTTGAACAGTACACACTATCACTGCAGTAATAGGACAAACACTGTAATTCCTTTATTAAAACAAAAGCAGGAAAAAAACATTGACAACGTAAACAAAATAAAATCTAAATCTCTCTGAAACACCACTGTGCCTGCTGCTCTGTTGCTCACGATGTACTCTGTGGCAGTCCTTTTTTCAGAAGGGATGTGAGATAGCTGCCCAGTTCTTCATCCTAGAGAGAATAAAGAAAAACAGGATGAAAGCAGTCTTCTACTTGCCCTTCTGATTCAACTCTGGTACGTAGAAATAGACTGAAATAATTATTGGGCCCAGCAAACTCTAATATTAGCAGTGTTCAAAAATGGAAACCAGCCAGTTAGCACATATGCATTTCTGGTGTTCTTTTGAAATACCTCTGTAAAACTACCATTTGTCAAAGTAGGTGTCTGGACCTGAGGTGTCTCTTGTGACAAAAATGACCATTTTTCTTGAAAGCAAAGAATAAAGAACCATTGATTTTTTTTGCTTTGTCCTCAAGAAGGCATTTCCTTGCTGTAAAGGAAACATTTAAAAATACAGCCATAGAAAGTATACTTTGGAAAGGGAGAAAACATAATGACTAGCTCTAATCTTACCCCAATTTTGTATTGGCTAGCTTTTTGCTTGTTTGTTGTTTGAAGTTTTACACCTAAGAAATACAATAGAAAATACCTCCACACACTGTATGGCAGTAGTAATAGAGCTGAGAGTTCAAAATACAGACATAATTGTAATTAACTGTAATTGTATTAAGTGTAATTACTCCAGATCAGTTGCCTTGAGTTCAGTGGCCCCAGCAAAAAACTGACTCAGTAGAGCTCCTGTAAAATGATTTGTACTAAACCTAAAATGGTAAAGAAAAGGGCAGTGACTCACCTCATCTTCTTCCGGTCAAACTACCTCAAAAACAGTGATGAAGACTCACCCTTAAATAGCAACCCACATTGTAGGACGGTTTTGGACTGTAAGGAGTTAAGATCAGAGTTGCTTGAAAAGTATGTCTTCTAGTATTCCTACCTGGTAAGTCCAGGATACGAGCAGAACTTTGGTTCCTTGATCCTCCGAGTGTGCCGTGGCTTGGATAAGAATGGACTCTACTGTTATAGAACCATCAGGGAGATGCTGCACTGAATAATCTTTCAGGACCCTGGTAAGAGAGAAGATATGCGATTGATTTTTGGGTGGGAAATGCGTATGAGCTGAAGGGTGGGTCATCCCCTGTATCTTTGAATCCCGAACACCAGCAGGTACTACCATTAGCAGTGTCTCTGAGCCAGCATGCACTGCCCAAGGAAGGGAGAACGGGGCTGACGCAGAACTTGCTTATTTTGGTGCTTATATTGATCATACAGGTTTTCCTACAAAATTTATTTCTGGCTTTCATGATAGCAGCTCCAGTCTGAACCCCGTTCATCTGAGCAAAGGACTACTCACAGAATTGACCAGCTGCCTCAAGGAGAAAACGGATTTTACGGTTCATCTGCTGCTAGCTTTTGAATAGCTTTAAGAGGTGTCTTGACCCTATGCTTGAGGGTCTAGCTCCAAACAATTGTACTAACTTCAGCTAGAAGCAATAGTGACAACAGCAAACCAACAGGAACAAAGATTTCAGGTGGACTGCTCTAGCTTGGCAAAGACCATGAGCTTGTAGGCTGGTTACCAGCCTCTGCTACTGCAGCATAACCACTGCTCTGGTTACATTGGCTCTACAGACTAAAATCTAGAGCAGTTGTGTCTTTGGGGCTGCAGAGAATTTTCTCTTAACTCTATGGGGCTGGTTTGGAAGGCCAGGAAGGAGGGAGCACTTGTACTACCTATATTGAGCTTATCATTCTTAAGTAAGTCCATCCCTAGGGGGAAGAAAACAAGCACAACTAAGAACGGACTTACCCTTTGAGATGGTTATATACACGAAGCACTGTCTCGTGTTCTTTCCGCGGATCCTGAATGTGAACACGGCAGGTGAAACGCAACTGATGTTCTGCAAGGCCCAGCTCCTTCAAAGCCTGCTCAGGAGAAACCAGACGGAAGCTCTGCAGAGGAAAAGTACAGATCCATTATAAGCTATTTCTTTGTGCTGTCTGAAGTTTTATTCCTCCTCTGTGGTCAGCTGCACATAGGTGTGTGTTCACCACTGCAAAACTCTAGCAGGTAAGATCATTTCTTTTCAATCTCTGAAACATCTCAGCGGACTTCAGTTACTACTGCAAGCAGTAACAGCTAGGCATGAGCATACAATGGACAGTAAAGGTAGAGGTAAGATGTGGCAAAATGTCCACCAAAATATCATACCCATTCTTTACTTCCCCAAATTAAAGTTGCTCTTTGAATGGGAGTTGGTTTAATGTCTTTATCAGGGAGAATGATTTGTTTAAATATAAACACGAGGTTACAGAGTAAGAACTCCTCCCCTGGCACCTCTCCATTGTTGTCCAACAAACTGAGGTCTACCAACAACAGGCTGCTGCTTGATTCTTTTAATTTTTACCCGCACAGTGAATCAGAAACACCTTGGATTCACAAGCTGAAAACCAGTCTCCTCAGAATGTCTGTAGCTGCACATGGTAGGTTGCAGGGGGCCAGGGCAAAAAACAGACTTTGAACAGAAGCAGCTCTTCAAATGTATCCGTTCCCTGTGACTCTGAGCATTCATGAGCCTGACCAGTAAAAATTCTACCACAACACCCTGCTCATGAATAGCAAGATACTAATTCTGAAGCTGTGGGACGAGTGAAGACTATCAGTCAAGACAACTGACAAGCTAAAGAGGCTGTCTTACAGATTAATCTTCCCAGGTATGGTGTCGCTGGGCTCCTTCCAAGAAACTAGGACTGCTTATCTTTATTTCAGTTCCTTGTTCACCCAGAACTCATGTATGAGTGATGACAACACACAAGAACTTTTTAACTTACATTATCCTTCATAATTAATGTGCCATGCATTAGCTTTGGCTTCTTGACATCTGGTAAGAGACCTAAACCAAAGCAAATGGAAGAGAAAGACAACATTGTTAATGATGATGTGCTTGCTTTTCACACAAGATGACTGCTATAGGACTTAATAGATTGGATTTCTGAGTCATTGTTGAGGTTCAGAGACTAAGATTTTACATCTTTGTTCTCCTGTCCATTAAAGTGCATAGTGCTTAAACCATTATCAGAAATCTAGGCACATTAAAAAAACATGCTTAGTAATACAGAACAACTGCTTCTCTTCCCCTATCACTTCCTGATTTGAGAGGTTTTGATTTTTCTTAAATTGGGTTTATAAAAGTAATTCCAGTTTTCACAGACCTAGCTAGTAAAAGCATACATGGATTTTGTTTTCATAGTGAATAGGCAACGAGTAGCAGACAAGGTAGTGTGTGTGGTTTTTTTTAAACATTATTGAATATACATTCACAGCATAGTAGCTGCTTCATTTCACAGGAAGCCTTCTCAACCACTAAATAAATGCTGATAAAATCTGCTCTTTTACAGGAAGCACTGCTTCTAAGTCACCATTGCGACAGTGTTTCCACTTAACACATGTACTATACAAAACAGCGGCTGGGCCCAAGAGGTGAAATTCTTGGTTCAAAATGTCTCACCTATTGCTGTTTCTCTCTTCAAGAGTCCCAGGGATATGTCCACTGGAATGCTGGGATTGGTGAATATTGTTGTGGTCTCTCCGTTTGCAGGCATGTAACAGCTGACATCTGCAATGTAAAGAACCAGACTGTCATTTCACCCACCAGCAGTCTGCAAGCGTCCCTCGAGTAGATGATGGTGCTGTGATTCTGGCAGAAGCCTGCTGCAGCTGTTCAGGACAGGACAGGAACTGAGTTTAATAGCAATTTGTTGAAACTTAATACCAGGGATTTGAAAGAGGCTGAAAAGTAGAACTGCTGCTCAGACTTAAGGGTAACAACCTTGCAAGAACCATCAAAACCCCAATGGGGCAATACCGACTAGCCCAGCTATCCGTAACTCCTTGTAAGGGGTAAAAAGAAACTGCAACAAAACTGCCTGTTTTCTGATGTTGGTAACAAGTTACTGCAAATAAATATGCAGACAGCAAGTAACCATCCCATGTGAATTCTGTGCTTTCTCCACTCATCATTTAAGAGCTAGCTGTTTCCAAGGGATTAACTTTTTTTTTTCCTGGAGCTCATTCCTCTCTATGTAGTTGCTAACTTACAGTTTCAGAGATGTACCCTGCCTGCATCGGCCTCTTTTAGGAGTCTAAAGAAATATAAATTCAGTAAGTGCTGAACTATAACGATACAAACATAACAAAATAACTTTTACTTCAAGTCCAAACAGGCATTAAAATTAAATAGGCTTAACATGTTAAGTAAGATATGTTACAGATACTAGTTTCTTGAGGGTGACTGGTCCTGTAAATTACATTATGCTTAACTCTGTGCTGAGGTCCAGTGGATGAAGTATGTGAACTTTAATGCCTTCCTTCTACCACCCCTCCCTCTTCAGTACCAATTCTATACATACGAAATTCCTGTTCTATTTTCTGCTTCAGAAACTCCATTTTCTTTGCTTCACCATGCACCAGGAGAACATTTCGTGGCTCAGCCTGGCGAATCAGCTGCATTATTCCCTTGGCATCTGCATGGGCGCTGAAGGACATGTACTCCACCTGCATCTTTACTTCCAACTGTGGAGGAGCAGAAAGCACAGGCTTTGTGAATCAGGAATTGTTTTGGCTCACTACAGCTTGTACACCGCACACAAACAGACCCAACTTCTCTGTATTTAGTTTAAAAAAGGAAGCAGAACACCTGAATTGGAAAATGAGGTTAGAGAGAGCTGCTCCTCTAGCAGAGACTGAATATGATGCTGTACAGGAACGCTTTCAG